AAATATAAAATATAAAAAATAAAATATAAAAATATAAGAAATAAAACATAAAAGATATAAAAATAAAATATAAAAAATATAAAATATAAATCATAAAAAATAAGATATAAAAATAAAATATAAAAAATAAATCATAAAAAATATAAAAAAATAAAATATAAATCATAAAAAATATAAAAAAAAAAATATAAAAAAAAATAAAAAATAAAAAAAAAATATAAAAATAAAATATAAAAAAAAAAAAATATAAAAATAAAATATAAAAAAAAAAAATATAAAAGAAAAAATATAAAAAATAAAATATAAAAGAAAAAATATAAAAATAAAATATAAAACAAAAAAATATAAAAAATAAAAATATAAAATATAAATCATAAAAAAAAAATAAAAATAAAATCATAAAAAATAAAAAAATAAAATAAAAAAAAAAAATAAAACAAAAAAATAAAATATAAATCAAAAAAATATAAAAGATATAAAAAATAAATCATAAAAAAAAATAAAATATAAAACATATAAAAATAAAATATAAAAAATAAAAAAATAAAATATAAAACAAAATATAAAAAATAAATCATAAAAATATAAAAGATATAAAAAATAAATCATAAAAAAATATAAAAGATATAAAAAAAAAAAAATAAAAAAAAAAAAATATAAAACATAAAAAAATAAAATATAAAACATAAAAATATAAAAAATAAAATATACAACAACATAAAAGATATAAAATATATAAAAAGTATATAAAAAATATATAAAATGTATATAATTGAGCAACATGAAAACAGACCAATTCCATCTGGAAATTTGGAATCAACAGAATGTTTATCAAAAGGACAATCAATTGATACAAAGAGATTTCCTCCTTCAAAGATAGACCAGGACATATGTTCCTGGTCTTGGTCTATCTTTGAAGGAGGAAATCCAGAACACCAAAAGTGATTAAACAGGTGCATGAAAAAAATCAGACATAATCCAAGAAGGTCAATGAGAAAATTGCCTAAGGAGGTTGGAATATTGGAGTGAACCATGTGGTAGCTATGTCGAAATGATCTTGGGATGTCGCCCTACAAGATAAACAAGAGTTTCTTTCAGCGGCCACAATGAAAAAGAGACTACAGGGAAATAAGCAGTTGCTGAAACGGATAGTACACTGCAGAACATCATCTTCACTGATGAGAAACTGTTCACTTTTGAACAAACTTTTAATCATCAAAATGGATGTCTTCTTTCAACAAATGAGAAACTGGCATCACTTATGGTTTGGGCAGCCATTTCAGAAAGAGGAAGCTCTCCTTTTGTTTACATGACTCAGGGAGTAAAGATCAACAAGTGTACATAGAGGACATCTTGGAAGGTGCACTCAAGCCATAGTGCAATGCCACTTATGCTGATGAACATTGGACACTTCAACAAGACTGAGTAATGAGCCATATTGCTTGTGTAACACAATAATTGTGCAGACACAATTGTCCTGGCTTCATCTTCAAGGACGAAAGGCCTTGCTCATCACCAGATATCAACACTCTTGACTATTGTTTGTGGGCAGTTCATAAGTGGGGCCTGTTCTACTTCATACCACAATATTGAATCTTTGAAGACAAAACTGGGACAAAATACCCATCGGCCTTTTGGCTAAGATCAAAGTGTAGTATCTGTTCTTATCAGCTTAATATCTGATATGTCCCCGAAGTGGGACTTCAATATTAAACTGATTTTTGGAACATGGCGAAGAGTCAGGGGCTTGCTCCGCCTTTGCCACGGGTTGGCCTGGTATTGCTGTGCCTCCAGGAGTCAGCTCAGTCTTCCTACTAGGGGAGACAAATAAAAACTGTTTATGCCACCACCAATGACTCTCCCAAAAAACTTTGATGTGCGTTGAAGGCTAAAGGCAACCATATTGAATTAAATTTTCTGGTGTTATTTAGCTGATTAATATAAGGTTGGTGCAAAAATAATGACGTAATAATGTTGTTATTTTTGCACCAACCTAATACTTGCTTTGTGTTAAAATTGTGTGCTGATATAAATTTTTCAGGAGTTATTGTAGTGAAGTGGCGGTCATGGTCATCATTTGTAATTCCATCATGGTGCATGGGTGAGACAAAGACCTAAAAAAAAAAAAAAAAAAAAAAAAAACTGTTTTTGATTTGCATGCACAAGCATGTAACTAATATAAATAAAGAGCATGTTTTTTCAGGGACAGTTTTTAGAATCAGATGGTTTGAACGGTACAGTGGATTGATGGTGGAAGGACATGTGCTGGGATTTCTTGATACTGGATGTTCGATTCTTGATTGCAATATTTCCTTCTGCACCCCACTTTGGTTTTACAGTGTTTTTGATTATCAAACAATTTGTCTTGCTTTGAACTTGAATTACTACTTCAAATTAACTACATCATGCTGGGTATGACAATAAACTACATCCACGTCCTGGGTAAGACGATAAACTACGTCCAGCAGCAATGCCTCTGATCAGGAGGTTTTGAGGAGTATGGAACCACCTCTTAATTGCTGGTGTTCCCAGGTCTGCCCTGACCCGGGGTGGTAGCACCTGTTAGGGTCCCAGCTATGGGCAAATAGTTAACACCCAAACTTGTGTAAAAATAAGTTTTAATACCAGAAATACTTTGTAATAAGAAAAAATTATTCCAGCAATAGTTTTTGAAGGAAAAATTATTATCAGCAATACTTTAAAAAAAAAAAATACCAGCAATACAAACAGTTATACATACTTTGAAAAAAATATTACCAGCTATAGATTTCTTCAAGGAAAAATATTCCCAGAAATAGATTTTTGAAGAAAAACATATTGCCAGTAATAAAAATTTTGTCAGCATTAAATAACCCATTGAGGTTGATATGCCGTAAAACAAACTGAACCAAACCACTATGAATCTATTTCAAAATTTTGTTGGCATTAAATGACCCACTGAGGTTGATATGCTATAAAACAAAACAACCAATCAAATCAACTACAGTTATGAGTTTTTTTTCTCATGTATCAGTATTTATACCGCCCCCATGTAGTACTCATCAGTTATTGCTTGTCCTGTTTACACTGAGTCTCGTCTATTAGTGGATTAAAACATTAGTTTGTGAATTAGTAATTGTGAGTTTAAAAACTGGGCTAGGTGTTCCAACTTGTGGAAAACTGGTTGACTAATAGATGAGTAGGAGTAGAGAAGTTCATCTATCATGTAGTGATTTACCAAGCGTAGCTTGGATGTGGCACAAGGCTGAAAGTAAGGGGCACCCAGTGAGGATCGAACTCACTACTCAGTTGTAATTGTTCTAGCAAAACAAGCTTGCTAACCATTACACCACCTCGAGGTGCCATCTATCATGTATCATGTAGTTCGCACACACCTCCCCTGTCTTTTAAACAGGGGTAGAGTTTTATCCCTTGTTCCCTGTTAAAGAGTGGATTTCCAATTCTTTCTAAAGTCTCTTCATTCTCTTTTACTTCCAGTAACCCCTTGCATCTTAGTGGCATTATTGCCTTACTTGGGGTAAATTGATTTAAAAAAAAAAATGTATTAAATAATCGATTGTTTCGTTCATTTTCTACAATGGCAAAGCTCAAGCCATAGCTCTAGACATCTCTAAAGCGTTTGATAGGATTTGGCAGGCTGGCCTTCTTTGTAAGCTTCAGGGATACGGTATTACAGGACGATTATTTGACTTAATACAATCATTCCTTTCTAACCGTGAAATGAAGGTTGTCCTAAACAGGTTCTTCTCTGGCTCTTTTATCACGAATGCTGGTGTTCCCCAAGGCTCTATCTATCTTGGGCCCTACACTGTTGCTAATCTTCATCAATGACCTTACCGATGTCATCAGTTTCCAAGTAGGCATCTATGTGGATAACACTACTATTTACTACTGCCTCAATAGTAAATCTAGTATCATTGGCAAAACTAACCTGGCTGCTGATCTCGAAAGGACCTCCAATCTGTGGTTGACTGGTGCAGGAAATTGCTTGTAAACTTTAATGCCTTCAAAATGAAATTGCTCATAGAACCCTCCCTGCCTCTCATCAGAATAGCTGATTCTCAATTCCATAAGAGCGCCTCGTTACGCCTGCTTGGTCTCGCACTGTCCAATGACATGAGGTGGAATAAATACATTGAATCAATAGCTTCATCTACTGTAAGGAAAATTGGTTCTTTGTGTTGTGCCAGAAAGCTTTTCTTGTCTGAGTCCATTCTTCAAATCTATAAATCAACCATCTGTCCTTGTATGGAATATTGCTGTCATATATGATCTGGTACCCCCACTGTACGTCTCAAGGTCCTTGACAAAATCCAGAGACGAAAATGCAAGATGATGGGTCCTAATCTGACATCTAGTCAACAGTTGCTATCCCACAGATGTGCTGTGGCTTCCCTCTGTCTCTTCTACAAGTATTTTCATGGCAACTGTTTCGACAAGCTACTTTCGCTGGTTCCCAAACTACATGAATTTAAGTGAGCTACCAGCCGGTCCCACCCTTTCAATGTCAAAACAGTTAAATGTAACCGTCTCTTCTACTCAAACAGCTTCTTCTCTTGCACTTCCCGTCTGTGGAACTCCCTTCCCCTTACTTGCTTCACCGAGGACTATAATCTTCAAATATTCAAGTGTAATGACAATCAACACCTGACAACCTGAGGTTGTTACCCATCCTTCTCTGTATCCTTTTTCTGTAACCCCTTGTGTGCTAGTGGCACTCCCACCTTGCTCGGGGTGAATTACTTCAAAAAAAAAAAAAAAAGAAGCTTATCCCGTTACTGGTTATTTAAAGCCAGTAAATATTTTTAGAATTTAAGAATAATAACGGTTTAGTGATACAAATCTTACTAATTAACCCATAGCTGGGGGGTGAAGAAGACATGTATTTATGCCTTTCCTAAGGGCATTTGTGTGTGAGTGAGTACAACAAACTCAATAGGAATTGGAACTCGACTCTTTGATTAACAATTCCAAGCCATTATCCACTCGCATAATCCAAGCTTACAGCACTTGATATTCTGAAGCAGTCACCCATCTAGATACTGACCAAGCTCAACATTGCTTAACTTCAGTGATAGTATGGGAACTGGTGCTTCAACTTGATGTGGCCATAAGCCTAGCACTAAATAAGGATTAGGTGAGATATCCCTAGACATGGACAGTAGAATGAGAACAATCTATTGCTGTAGATTAAATAAAGGGTTCTGTTTGGAGTTCCCTGAAGCTTTCCTGGATTGACAAACACCTGACGATGGCTTGAGGGCACCATGGCTGAAACATGGTGGTTATAAAAACAAAGATGATGACAAAAGTCCAAATGTAAATAATGATAATTTCTCATCCCCCAAAATAGTCATTTGGTAATATTTTTTTTTTCTGTTTAGCAATTATTGTTTACATTAAATGCGGATGATTACAATGAGTTTTAATGATCTTTTTAAGGTTTTTTTTTTTTTTTTTTTTAAATCAAAGAAATTGCCACTTATAGACTACATTGTAGATTTCCATTTTGTTGATACTAAATTGATTTGGGGAATTTGTTTTTTTTGTCAAAATGATTCTTCTGTTTGTGTGTGTGTTCATATCGAGTTTTAATTTTATGTTGAATATTTCTCTGAATATTTTTCACTTCAATTAATTTCCGATTCGGGCAAAAGAATTTTCTCCCCATTTCTTCATTTTGTATTTTTCCTTTCCTCTCCCCACCTTTTCACCTCTTAAGAGGATTCTGACAATTGCCTTGAGACATTTGATTGTCTCATGCCACAATTATGCAGTACCATAGCCTCTGTAGCCACCATCTTCTCCTCTTTACTCTTTTCTTTTCTTTTCTTTTTTGCTTTTTTTTTTTTATTAATTCTTTTTTTTTTCCCTGATTTTTCTTTTTTCTTTTTGTTTCTGTGAAATCTCTTTTCCATTTCTCTTTAAACCTATTTTCTTTTCTTTGTCTCTTTTTTTCTTTTTCCCTTTTTTTCTTTTTATCAATTTTCTTTTTCCTTTTTTCTTCAACTATTTCATTTTTCTTTTCCGTTTCCTTTTCAGTTCTGCTTTTCTTTTTTTTTTCTTTTTTAATTTTCTCTTTTCACCTGTTTCCCTTTTCTTTTCTCTATTTTTTGTTTTTTTTTCCTTTTTACCAGCTCTTTCTTTTCTTTTTCCCTTTTTTTTAACAATTTTCTTTTTTCTTTTCTCCTTTCTTCTGTTATCCAATTCTTTTTTCTTTTCATCCATTTCCTTTTCTTTTTCACGTTTTTTATTTTGACCAATTCTCTTTTTCTTTTCTCTTTTCATCTTTTTCTTTTTTTCCTTTCTTTTTACCAATTCTTTTCTCTTTCTTTTCTCCTTTCTTTCTTTTCATCTCTTTTTCTTTTTCCAATTCTTTTCTTTCTTCTTTCCTCTTTTCTTTCTTCTTTCCTCTTTTCTTTCTTCTTTCCTCTTTTCTTTCTTCTTTCCTCTTTTCTTTCTTCTTTCCTCTTTTCTTTCTCTTTTTTCTTTTCTTTCTCTTTTTTCTTTTCTTTCTCTTTTTTCTTTTCTTTCTCTTTTTTCTTTTCTCTTTCTTTTCTTTTTTTTTTTTTGCTCTTCTTGGTAAAAACCAATTCTCATTCTTTCTCTTATTTTTTTTTCTCTTGCTTTTCTCTCCCCCACCCCTGTTTATCTTCTTGCTCCCCAACCCCCAGGCTCTTCCTCCAAGTCTTTTCTGTCTAAAATAGTTGTGCCATGAGGCATCAATTTCCAACAGGGGCATGCCCCTACCACTTTCCTCATACACACTAAGTGCCTTGCCACTTAATTTCTTTCTTTTAAACCCTCACTTTTATTCTTTTTTTGGTAACAATGGCTTCCTGCTTTCCTTTACTTAAATTCTCCTTCCCAATTAATTTGCTCTGGGCACAATGTGTCACTCCCCACCCCTTCCTGTTTTGTCTTGATTGATATCACTCCCTAAAACACTCACTCTTCCTTCTCCTCGTATCCTTTACACACTCCTTCTAACCCCATCTTTCTCTTTAATTTTAAACTATGAAAAATTAGCTCAGGAAATTTTTTTTAATAAAAGGAATGCCATACTTTGAATATTTTATATTTTATCTAAATAAAATATTTGTGGATAGAATTTTCACTCAAAATCAGATTAAGTTTAAATGCCATCATTACTGACATGCTTCTTAAATTGGCCGTTGACTAAACATGATTTCATGGTTGCTCTCCCTCCCTCCCGACCTTAATTTCTGAACAGAATATTATGTACTTCCTTTTTAATTTCTAAACAAGTGATATTTGTTGTGACAAGATTATCTCCAGAACCCTCTTTTCATCTTAAACTATTTTTTAACAATTAACAGATAAACTGGTTAATTATGAGATTTGAACGTTTAATAAGCTCCCTCTTCTTTTATGGGCTGTATCTCTTCTGGACCTGGGAGATCACGGCTCTCCACATCTTTCTATCTTTCTTAGCTCTTAGCAACATTTTTTTTATTATTATTATCATTCCCACTCCCTTTTCTGTTATCTATTTACACAAGCTTGATAGGTAGGCTGATCATGGTTCCCCACGAATTCCTATCATTTGTAGCTCTTAATAAGGTTTGTATTTTCACTATCCTTCTCACTCCCTGTTCTGCCATCCATTTACACAAGCTCATTAGGTAAGTTGATCATGGCTCTCCACGATTTCCTATCATTTTGTAGTCCTTAATAAAGTTTCTATTTTCACTATCCTTCCCACTCTTTGTTCTGCCATCCATTTACACAAGCTTGTCCTGGGTATGATGATAAACTACATCCGTGTCCTGGGTATGACGATAAACTACGTCCAACAGCAAGGCCTCTGATCAGGAGATTTTGAGGAGCGTAGTAGCACTTGTTAGGGTCCCAGCTATGGGCAAATAGTTAACACTCTGACTACATCCACGTCCTGGGTATGACGATAAACTATATCCAGCAGCAAAGCCTCTGATAATGTTTTTGAAAAAATAATGTTGCCAGCTGTACATTTTTTGAAAAAATATTACCAGCTATATGTTTTTGGGGAAAAAATATTAACAGAAATAGATTTTTGACAAAGCAAAAATATTACCAGGAAAAAAAAAGTTGTCGGCATTAAATGACCCATTGAGGTTAATATGCCATAAAACAAAACAAACCAAACCATTTACACAAGCTTATTAGGTAGGTTGGTCATGGTTCTCCACGATTTCCTATCATTTGTAGCTCTTAGTAAGGTTTGTATTTTCACTATACTTTCCACTCCCTGTTCTGTCATCCATTTACATGAGGTTGCGATTTTAAAAAATTTTTTTTAATTGGCATCATTCCAAACTAAGGCAGTACAGCCACTAGCATGCAAGGGGAAGAGGGGATTAGGAACAGATACCTTAGTAATGAGAAGAAAGAGAAAAAAGCAATCAAGAGAACAGTAGATAGCGTTGCATTGCATGCAAATTTTTGCAGATTGTTGTAACCGAGTGAAAGTTACTGAATAGAATAATCAAACAAAGGTTGGTAATGAACGATAATACTTAGGACAAGAACAACACATATAAGATTCGCCAGCGGCGCGTAGAAGTAGTCAACTGCTACAAGTGAGTCAAGTGAATTCCATAATGAATCTCCAACTGCAGACCAACATACAATATTTGCTACTGTATTTATGTGAATGAGGACATACCCATTATCGTCCGTAGGTATGCTACAACGAAGATTAAAGTTGGTTGGAAAGCACGGAGATGGGAGGGAGTTCCACAAGTAAGAAGTACGAGATAAGAAACTGTTAGCATAGAAGTTATGGCTACATCTAGCTAACTCGACTGTAAATTGGTGTGATCTCATCACCAGTCGAGTATGGCGCTTAAATTCATACAGTCTAGGTACCATAGCAAAGAGCTCATCTGAAAGTATATATAAAAATGGCACAGAGAGGCAACCTTACATCAGTGGTCATATCCAGTGGCAATTCTACAAGGGGGGGAAGGGACCACTGCCCCCATTCACACTGAATTTTGGCTGGCACCTCAGTTGCCCCCACCCCCACTTTTCTAAGTTTTGTAGAGGAAAAAAATCAGTAGACAAATTACACTGTTCTGCTAGTATTGACGTTAGTATTGACCCTTTGATTTTGTTTTGAAGTTAACCCCTCTCTTGTGGTCCAACAGCTTGAGAGTGGAAAAGAGGGCAAGAATAGATTAGAACTCCACTACTATGAATGAAAAGTTATTCCGTTTAATTTAGTGAAGTAACATACTTATACTAAAACTCATTCCTGAGTTGTGTATACGATAGTGGGGTAGTATGAATATAAAGACGCTGCTTGAATTACCCCCACCCGCCTCCGCTGAAAAATCTTGTCCCCCCCCCAAGTGGCCCCTCCACTTTCAGAGTCCCAGAATAGCCACTGGTCATATTGGGTGCTTGCTGTTTCCCCACTTGCCCCCTATCATCTTCAATATGTCCTGCAAGTGTCAAATTTTCCAAGTTTTCTTTCCTCATTGTGTCCCAGAAATTTCAACTCTTTCTGCTTCTAAGTATGAGTGTTTCCATGAAGTTCCTCGTTGCTCACATGTGTGATACTATCCACAGAGAAAGGGTAAAGGTGGTTTTATCTTGGTCTCAAGTGTTTCTGCTTGACGTGTCAGCAGATGGATCCTTTTGAAGTTGTGCAAAGGGAGCATCTTTACAAGACACTAAATCTCTGATAATGTCAAATCGAGTCTTACAAAAAAGCATACTTTTGAATGCTGTTTTTTTTCTGTCACTTTTATTGGCATGAGAGTGTTGACAAAAATCCAGATCTGGACAAGTTGCAGAGAGGTCCATCTCTGGATATGCCAAGCTGTTCTGCTGCTGCTAATGGCGAAACCCAGATGTGACAGACATCAACAGACATCAAGTTTTCTTCCTGAAGCTGTCCGTGGCAAAAGTCAAAGCCGGTATCTTCATTGGACCATAAATAAAGATCATAGAATGCTAAGAATTCCCCAAGAAGCTCACTAGGATGGAGAAAGCAGTGTGGAATAGTTTTGTCGCAGTGCTTCCTGGGGTATTACAAAGCCGAAATCTATGTAGATCTTGTTGAAAGTATTTTATTAATAATTTCTTCCTGTAGCCTATACCGTA